TTCGCCCCCATTTGTGCTACATCCCCTGCTCATCTCAACATTTTCTTTAGCTTAGGTCATTTTTCCAAAGAATTCGTCCAGGTCCGAGGACTTTTGTGACATTTCGTAAGAAGCTTATTTTTCTACGGTGAGTTGTTAGCCCCACGCCCAACCTCCAAGCTGGAAGGCCACTCCTTGTCTGCTGTTCGCGACTGCTTATTCAATATATATTTGCAACTACCCTCCATACCTGGAGGGTGTCTCCTCCATCCGCAACCCGAGGACGCGTATGCCGTGGTGACAAGGGACCCACCTAACATGGGAGGTAAAAAATTCGCTTATTGGGGGGTGGAGTCCAACTGGGTCCACTCGGCACGGCTGCCACTGATTGGCCTATTGTAGCCTGCCCCGGGTGATTATGATGATGGAGAATTTGGTGGAATGAAGATTGGCAGGGGAAACCAAAGTACTCGGAGAAAACCTGCGCCAGAGCCACTTTGTCCACCACAAATCCCACTTGACCAGACCCGGGATCGAACTCGGGCCGCCGCGATGGGAAGCCAGCGACTAACCGCTTGAGCTATGGCGCGATAGTTCAACGCTGCTGCTAGCACACAGAGCACGCCACTGACCACGATCCCAAGACACAATTCAACGTGACGCTTTTATTTTTGGATTTCTGTTTATCAGAGCGGTAACGCCGTGTAGTTCGGTCGAAGTTCACTGACTTTTCGGAGACAGGCATTACCTCCATCTTCAGGGTCCAAGAGCAAGCCAAGCTCCTTTTGCTTCTTGCTTGTTTAGCTTAATGTTCGACCCTGAAGACGGAGGCAGTAAATTCATGGCATCACATCTATAAAGATAGTTCTCTTCTAAAGCATTCAGTGTTCTCTTTCTGTTCTTTATTCTTCCGTAATTTCTCTCAACATTCAATTTAAATTAAAGGACATATGGAAACCACGACATTCTCCTGCCAACAAGTAGGTCAGATATAAACATGTTCGGATGCTTACATAGATTCTAGCCTGTTCTCATGAGAGCGTGCCCAAACTTTATTACGCAAGAATTTCTATTAATACTGTATAAAAGCTTCTACACGTTACTGACAGTCAATATTCTTGTTTGCATTATGACTAACATCATCGAAACCAATAATCAGAAATTTTCATCTAAAGTGGTCATCGGTACGTGACCAGTTGAGAAATGGCCTTTCAGTAAGATGTCAAGGGGAGCGAAGCAGCTGGACGGGCTAGCCTAACATGAGATTCATATTCGACTTGGCAACATTACTACTACCGCTCGGATGCTGGATAGATCTCTTGGACGCTGCTTTCAGAAAGATGCTTTCTCTTATGCCCACTCTCTTTCTCTAATCTAATTTTAGTCGACGTCTCCCCCCCCCAAATCACAGGAGAAGCAACATGGCGAAGGAGGGAACGCATGCCAACCAACTGACGGCGGACCATGTAAGGCGACCCCCACGAGCCTCAACACTTGTCGTGGCCAAGTCAAGGCAGAAAATTGGCAAACCTGCTCCCACCTGACTATATGACCTTAATAAAGCTTCTGTTGCAACACTGATAACCTAAGCGACCATCAATTAACATGTCAATGCTGAGAATGATCTGACGCGAACTGACTGAGGTGGGAGGAGAAGGAAGAATATTCGGTACCAGCATATTAACGTGACCGGGGCATATCTGCGACGAACAGGGCGGACAAATTCGTTTCATACGCAAAAGAAACGCAAACTAAATTGATTACAAGCAATGATTTTACATAAATATAACTGAAACACCACAAAACAGAAGGAAGAACTTTTTTTTTTCCCCCAATTTTCTTCCATAAACTAATTTGTATCACTGGTAAGGAAACTGATTCAGTATATTGTTTTGCTGTTAAAACGTTACTTACTTACTCAGAATATCAAAGGAATCTGTCTAGCAATATGCCATTAATCTCATAACGTGTCAGTATGACATTCGCCATCCTGGCCGTAGTTTCCCGAAATGTCTTTCCTATTAACTACATCACTAAAACACTGAGGTAATGCAGCGGTATTATATGTTACAGATCTAGACTTTATTGGTCTCACTCTGTCCCAAAATCTGAGGGTGATGGTAGTCTCTGACGACCTTATCAATTTTATAATACAGTTCCACACACAATACGTACATTCTCTTCAAAAATTCTAACATATGGAGCAAAAAATGAATAAATACACTAAAATTTGGGGAGCCGGGATAGCGCAGTCGGTATGGCAACCGGCTACAGGCTGGACGGCCGAGGGGTCGAATTTCGAGTCCCGGTAGAGGCAAGATTATTCTCCTCTCCACGTCGTCCAGATTGGTTCCGGGGCCCACCCAGACTCCTATCTAATGGGCACAGGCGGTTTTATCCCCGGAGATAAAGCGGCTGGGGCATGAAGCTGACCAATGATCTCCAACTAGTGCCGAGGTGAAGAATACGTGGATCTATACATCCAATCCCACATACGCCTTCATGCTGTAGTGCTTATTTAGTTATGGGACAAACTTGGCCACTTCACCCTCGGGAGAAAAGTGTTCGGTACCCATTGGATACGAGGCTCCATGGGCCCCAGAGCGGGTCTGGACGCTGTGGAGAAGAGAAAAACCTATTGCTCCTGCCGGGAATCGAACTCCGGCCTTCCAGCCCATGGCCCCGTTGTTATACCGACAAAGCCAATGCAGAAAACTCAGAGATATTATAAAATTTACTCCGTACTTTGCCAATATGTATGGCATTCGCGGTTACTAAAGCGATGCGTTATGAACTGAGATGGGAATTTTTGGATGAGATTCGAATCCTCACGTTCATTCTCTTCTCTACACACTGAGTGTATTATATTTTCATAATTTGGATGTTACTCCTTCTTTGAAGTTTTAGCTACTATTGACAAGCAGAACAACCGTATCCTGCGCGAGAAATGGGCACGTCTACTCATTATAAATAAATGTAGGTTTCCTGCTCTGTGGTCTAGTGGTCAGAGTACCTGGCTACAGATCCAGACGTCCGGGTTCGATTCCCGGCGCTACCAGACTTTGTGAGAAGTAGTGGGTCTGAAACGGGGCCCACTCAGCCTCGTGAGGATAACTGAGGAGGTATTTCAAGGAAATAGCGGCTCCGGTCTAGAAAACCGATATTAACGGCAGTGGGGATCCGTTGCGCTGCCCACGCGACACCCTCTGTCCGGTAAAGTTGGCACTAACTTCGCCGACAAGTTGCGGTCGCTCGGTCGGTATAGTTCACTTGCGGACTAGAAGCAACGGAGTTTGCTTTTTCTTACTATAGTACAATAATTGTTTTTGGACATCATCCCTCGTCCTGATTTTTTATTTAAAACACAACGTTTCGGAGACTGGATTCTGTCTGGATTCTGGATTCAGGTAAAAGCCTACTCAGTTGGGCCCAATCAACTGTACTAGTCTCGGTCTGCGTCCTGTCTCCGAAACGTCACTTTAAATAAAACAATCAGGGAGATGGACAACGCCTATAAATACAATAATTGTATTAACCCTTTAAAGTCCAGCGATTATTATAGGTACCATGCGCTCTAACACACTAAAACTCTGCATTCTGCCCACAGAGTGTATATGTGTGTTTCGTATGATTCTCACAATAAACAGCGACTGTTTCCCTAAACAGCATTAACCGGTTGGGCTTTGTAGCGGGGACGTAATGTGTTTCCTGTGAATTCTTATATATTGTTTACAAGAATTTCAGTCTTTAAATGGTTAATGTACCATCGTGACACACTTTTATATCGTATTCCTGCAACAGTTCTTAGGACTGCAAGTGTTTAGAACGGCTATAACATGCAAAACACCGTGAATCAGCCGTCCCTAACTTCAACTGACGAACTAAAGGACAACGGTAAAAGAAAAAAGAAACACCTTACAGGCCTGTTCTTTGTATGAGACAGGTCTGATTCACTTAAAGGAAAGGAAGGGAACTGAAGCACTTCCTGCTGCAAGTTACAACGCAAGACAAAGCAACACTTGAACGCCTCTGACTCACCGACGTGAACTTTCTCCGCTGCAATTCAAGTTGAGTATTCAGATCACTGTTTTCTGAGATTTAACGCCGTGTACTTTGGTATATGCACAGCAAAGGTTAGTCGAGGCACTATGCTACAAGCCGGAAGGTCGCGGGTTCCATTCCCGATGAGGTCACTAGATTGATTTCAATTGATCTAATCCTTCCAGCCGCACTATGGCCCTGGCGTCGAAGATGCCTTTTACTCACAAAGTACTACTGGCTCAGTAGGTTTATACCTCTTCCGAGACACAAAATAAAAATGATATATAAAGAAATATATGGCCGGTCACGGTGGCCGAGCGGTCTAAGGCATGTACTGTCTTCGCTCGCTTGGAAACCGGGATCGTGGGTTCGAATCCCACTCAAGGCATGGATGTTTGTGTGCGTTTTTCTGTGTTTGTGTACAGGTAGAGGCCTTGCGACGAGCTGGTCACCCGTCCAAGGAGTCCTACCGAATGTGTAAGATCTAGAAAAACCGAAGTGAACGGAGAAGTTCATGCAGGCAGGCCTAGGCCCACTGGGGCTGTAGTGCCAAGGGGGATATATATATATATATGTCTGACACTGACTTCTTACCTGATAATTTGCTACTGAAAACCAATCCTTGAATACGTCATACTTCCTTGAAAGCTCTAGAAGCACTAACATTCGAGCAGAGATGAATATTTACTCCTCAGTTCTCAAAACAAAGCTGAGTTCTATTTCGCTGACCAGGTCATAAACAGTCATATCTAAACATAAATAGTATCGAAACCAGTACCGTGATAAACGACTTCATTGTTCAGAGCTAAAAAACGAACCTCTGACATGACCTTGCTGGGTTTGTTTTGGTTTCAAACCGAAGATCAAACTGTAAGCACTCCCAAAATGAGCGCGTGTCCTGCCTTATATAAATATAACATTCGGCCACAGCGGGGTTATATTTCGGGGGATGACTGTATACAGAGATGTACTGTACTTACCACATGGCCTGAACTGACACCGGTTTGAATATATGCTGTCGCCCACAGACGCTCACGCTGAAGCCACTGCAAGCACAACAAACATGAACATGCTTTGTTGGATCTGACATTCACACACTAGTGACTACAGACGTACTTCTGAGACATGATGTCGTGTAGTCCGGTACAAGCTCACCAGCTTTCCGGGTGAAACAAGGGTCGAACAAGAAGCAAGTAGCAAACAGCGATCGGGGCACTGAGTACTTCGTGGTGAGCAACTAATACTGGTGTGTGCAGAAGTGGTTCTATACCCCCACTTTTGCAAATACGGCCCTTTTCAGCACCAGAACTAGTCACGACCCTCTTGTCTGAATTAGGTTTCCTACATTCGGTTCATTCTGTTTGCTGCTGTTGCTAGCTTGGCTTTTTCTTCGACGCTAAAGTTCCTCCAAAACGTCGGTAAAACTTCGACCAGACTACACAACGTAACCTCCTCGAAGATAATTCTCTTCATGGACACCCTTACTCGTAATGAATCACCGTCCTCCATACATACACACATACGTACTACCTCTTATAGCAAGAAGAGTGAGCACATGACATATTGTCATGTGCAGGGGTTTGTTTGACTTATAAGAGGGGTTCTGGAATGGATCATTGGATTTATTGGCACCTTATACATTCCACTTGGGACTACAGTCAATTACAGCGCCATCGCTGATCTACACACTTTACAGTTCACCGTTAAACACACACACACACACACACACTAGGATTCTCAGTCTTCACTAGTCGTATCCTGGCAACGGATTTATCACAGTCTCACTGTCACTTCAAATCACCCATGAAGTCTTCTTCGCACCGCCTAATTCCTTTCTCGCAATTATTCTGCAACTACCTCTGCTCCCAAATTCTGCTCTCGAAACTCGACTCGACTTCTCAAATGAACTCTTCTCCATAACCATTTTGTACGGATTACGCAGAAAACACAGCCTATTGTTGGGAAGGCGTGTTTACGGTGCCCTTGTATAGCAACGGATGTTACTCAATTGTTGCTTGTGTATTCGCTGCCGCGGGAATGTGTTTACCGAGTCGTTGTCTTAGCAACCAATGTCTCTTCTGACTCCACTATTCCGGCTTTCGGGCGTTATGTCCCAATATCTTCAGATATTTTTAAGTACGTAACACCACCTTCTGTACAAGCTGACTAACAAGCAACACATCTTGTCAGGCATTTTCAATCTATTTTTTGTGTGTTGTATGTTGTAAACATCAAATGTGGAAAAAGAAGGAAGAAGAGACACAAATATCCGTCTCCATTTTCCCTCGTCTTTAGTCAAAATATTTTGTGATAAGGGTGTAATTATTTCATATCATACAACAGACTGGCCAAACTGTGGCTCTCAATTCGTATGCGTCTCACAACCCTATGGGCCTCCACGGCCTGTTACAGGGATAGCTTTACATTTTCACCAGCTCAGCTGGTTGAGGCACTATGTTACAAGCCGGGAGGTCACGGGTTCAATTACCAATGTCACTGGAATTTTAACCTTAGTCCTTCCAGCCGCACTATGGACCTGGGGTCGACTAAGCCTCTAGCAGAAATGAGTACCAGGAATCTTCTTGGGGGTAAACGGCGGCCGGTGAGTAAGCGTGACAACCTGACCGCCATCTGCGAGCTGACTGTCTAGAAAATGTGGGATCCTGGAGTTCTCATAACCCTATGGGCCTCCATGGCCTGTTACCGGGATAGCTTTGCCTTTACCTTTATGAGTGTCGGGGCAGAAATGAAGGATGTGATATTGTACTGCGTGATCAGGGCTACTGCACACATCAGGTGGTGGTGTGAGTATGGAGCAAGGTGGGATGAAGACCTACAGGGAAAACCCGAAGAAACTAATCGAGTCCCACTTTCTCCAACCCCAGGCTTTGCAGCGAGAAGCAGCATCTAAAGGCCTGAACAAGAGCACGGGCCTTCAGCAAGAAACGCGGTACGTGAAACCTAACTACAGTTCCGTGGAAGCTGACGGTGAAAGGAACTACGACTGGTGCTCTACAGGGAACTTGCAACTTAACTTCCCAGTTTGTTCAACTGATTTGAGAACTGAGTTTACATGAACACTCTACACGGAGAAAACGTTTCCTGGATATTACAGACAGAACCCACAGCAATTACACTACAGAGCTGAGAGTGCTAAGTCTGTTTTCTAATCCGTCTCCACAAACCATGGAAAAAATCGTGACGAATTATGGTCTATTGTACTCGATTCTGAAAAGAAATAATTTTACCGTATTCACGAATACAATTTGAAATAACCTCGAGTTCCTGAATTTTTTCTTCACTGATTAAATCTGTCAGAACAGTAACAAAGAAAAATGAATTTATAAATTGTAGGATTTGAGGTTCTCAGAGCGGTGGTTATGCGGAGTTCTTATGTTCAGGGGCATAACGTCGTGTAGATTTATTAATTAACTCTATGGAGGGACTTTCTGGGAAGCTAACAGTAGCTCAACCAACCAAGAAATGTCCTTCTACAGAACCAAAATATCTACTGCTATCTTCAAGAAAATAAACTGCCAAAGAATATACCCACGACCGAGGCCCTGTGTAACATCAATACAAACTAATTTAGGCCGTTAAACGCCCAGCCAACCCACAGGCGGAAGGGCTAACTCATACGGACTGTCCACGACTGTTCAACACATGCGCACTACATCCATGTCTGGACGTAGTCCTCTGTATCCGCAACCTGAGGAAGAGCCAGGTATTCATGAAACGGAACACGCGTGATTTCGAATTTATGTTTTCGTTTACTATTTGTTTACTACCATGTTACTTCGTCTGCGGGATACTTCAGTGCGGTTGACCAAACCGATACATAAACCAGCATCTCTTGAACTTCCACAACATTTGGTCCATTACAACGTGAACTCTCTTCACGTTCTCAAAACAAAAGATCATGACTGAGTAAAGGGAGAACACAGTGCGGTTTCTAACGGGTACCGAATTCAAGCGGAAGAGTAGGACGTGAGTCCAGTGAAGTCGGGCTGGTACATTACGTGGAGGGGCTCGCTATAGTCAGAGTCAGTGTTACTACACGACTGGAGGTTTACAGCCAATCAGTTCGTCTTGGCGACAAGTCCTTGAGACTCACAACCAATTATTTTATTTTCCAACTGAACACTTGCGTTTATAGTCCTTACGGTATATCCTCTCTGACGAGAGGATGGGTCTGTCGTTTACAATTGTTGCAGCTCCTCGCCAGCGCAGTCATTCTGAGGTCAGGGTCCCGCGGGACTGATGATCATATTTTATTGTCTCCTCCAATCTGGAGGGCCAGGTCCCCGTATTTGTATCCTCCAGGAAGATGGTGGTCCAGTTATGCCCCCAGGCACTGGGTTCCCTTTTCGTCGCCTCCTACGACTCGCAGGGCTACGGTGGAGGTATTCGACCCCGCCCCCACACGGGATTACTCGCTACATTCTATCACCTATGTGGTATCAAGTAGAGAGGTCTATGCGAACGTACCCATCACCGTCGAGCGTGATAGCAGTGTCTGCCAGGACCCTCAGGACTAATCCCACCGTGGTTTTCTCGTTGCAGTCGATACCAAGAAGACAACTCTCCTCAGCGTCCTGACGACCCATACAAGACACGACAACCAAGTACCGGGTCCGACCAGAGTGCACAGTCTCCAGCTTCACTGCCTGCAACACAACAGCGGACGAGGGATGAGACGCGCCAACAGGACATCGTGGTTTCACGATTATTAATGATTAGCAGGGCCCAGATTTTGATGACCTGAAAATATTTAAAAAATTACCTATAAAATGACCGAAAAATCCAGAAAAATGACCTAAAGGAGAAAAGAAAGAACACTTCGTTTCCATATTATTCACATTTCAGAAAAACAAATGAAGAAAAATTACCTAAAATGGCCAAAAATGACAAGAAATACCCTTAAAAGCCCAAAAATTTACCCCCCAAATGAAAAAATGACCTTAACCTTAAAAATGTCAAAAAATGACAAAAATTACCTATAAAAGTTACATTTCTGTAACCAGCAGCTCATATCCGAGATTTATATATTTAAGAACATCGCATAGGATACAAGGAAAAAATATGACATGTCATGAAAATCCGGGCCCTGATGATTAGGTTCGAAATATATTGTAGCATGTACAAGCCGTTGCTAAGCAACAGGCGAAAATACGACCGTTTCTCAGCCATGACTCGGTAAACACGTTACCTCGGAAACAAATAAACACGTCAGCAATACCCGAGATACTGGAGGCAACTGCTCGGTAAACAGGTACCTGCGGCAACGAACACGTACGCAACAATAGAAGGAACTGTTTTCTGTGCGGTCAGTGCCGAGGGGTTATAAAAATGGCAAAGAAGATATCTGGCAGGCTTAACAAGTTACATCTGGCATAAGTACACTTGACGAAAGACCAAGCACATTCATAAGAGAAAAGCCCATCCTATCGTCAGAGGATGTTACATAAGGAATGTGACAGCAAATGTTCAGTTGGTCATGATTCTCAAAGGGTTGACGCGACGACGAACTGATTGGCGGTAAACCGTCAGTCGTAAGGTAACTCTGACTCTAATTTTGAGCTGGCAGGCAGTTCTTTAATGGGGTCGGAGAAGGAAGGACCTGAGCGCAGGAAGCTAAGAACATCCACTGTTAGAAACCGTTGCCAGTAACGGCTGGTGAAGACACGGCAGACCGGAAAAAGCTTAGGGGGTGCTGTGCTGATTTGTGATTACCTTTTACCTGTGCGTTCAATGAGATCTTCAATATGGCGGTTATGGTAAAAAAGGTGAAGTAATAATCCCTGTAACAGGCCGCGGAGGCCCATGGGGTTGTGAGAAGTTGAGGACCCCACATTTTCTAGGCAATCGGCGCATAGATGGCAGTCAGGCTGTCAGCCTTACGCTCCGACTGACCTTTACCATCAGGAAGATTCCTGGTACTCATTTCTGTTAGAGGCTGAGTCGACCTCAGGCCCATAGTACGGCTGGAAGGATTAGGTAAATTGCAAAATTCAGTGACCTCATTGGGGATCGAACCCGGGACCTTCCGCCTTGCAGCACAGTGCCTCAACCAACTGCGCCACCGCGTGCCCTTGGCGATTACGATTCCACTGTATATTGCAAATGGAATGTGGTAACTTTCTGCAGTTGTCATAAAAATGCCACTATATGACGACGCTGCGAAAGCCCTCACATATGTTCTAGAGGCAGTACATACGATGACTATCTTTAAGTGTGTTCATTTGCACATCAACGTCTTGACATCTAGGAGAGAGTATGCATTTTTCAATAGCTTATCTATGCTTGCCCAATGAATGAACATCAGCATAGACTAGAGGCTGAGTGTCCCAGCCAACTAATGAAAACTACTTACTTTCGTATGAAACGCGAAACGTTTTTATGTGCTTAAAACTGCAAGTAAAAACAAACGGACAGCAATCAGTTAATCCACGAATGGACAAAAGAAATCCTTGTGTCATAATAAACAAACCGGGATTACCAGACTGGTGCCAACTATTTGTGTCCTGATTTACCTGACACGCGCAAACTATTTATAAACGTGTCCCAAATTACTCGGCTCGCGAAAGTATTTATTAGTAATACCACAGCCGCATGTAAAGGTTCTAAGTTTTAGGGCGGGGGCACACCAAAGAAACTGGCAACTGCAACGCAACCGCAACTTCCAAGAAACGTCACAGGCTATTGGTTTCTAGATTAGCAGGCGCACACTGAGCAAACTTATGCTCTGATTAGTCACACCGACTTAATGCGTGACTAACTTTATTTTCCTGCATTTTTCTTCTGCAGTGTCAGATAATACTGTAATACTGATCCTGTCATAATATGGTGGTAATTGAGAGTGAGTAGGATGAGAGGTAAAAGTTGTTCCTGTACTTTACTAATTAAGCACTAAGACTTGAAGGCGCATGGGGAGTGGATGTATAGATCCACATTATCTTGACCTCGGCACTAGTTGGAGCTGAGTGGTCAGCTTCACGCAACGGCCGCTTTACCCCCGAGGAAAGAGTCTCCGGTACCCATTGTATAGGAGGTTGGGCGGACCCCAGAGACGGTCTGGCCGACATGGTGAAGTGAAAATTCTTGCCTCACCGGGACTCGAACTCCGACTCCTCCGTCCTCCAGCCCGTAGCCAGTCGCTATACCGACTGAGCTATCCCGGCTCATTAAGAAGAGAGAACAGGTTAAAAAGAAACATTGGGTGCATCCGTTCAGGTGCTTATATTGTTTCGAAAGACCTTAACCACGATCTAGACTCCTTCATCGCATAAGTCGTCCTGCCTACCTCAGACTGCTCAGTTAACTGCTCAAAAACAAAATTAGCAGCTTCATCAACTTTTCGTGCCATCTAAAGAAGCAAATGAATCACAAAAGCATGTTAGAACAGCCGAAACCAGGTAACTACGCTGCAACGCAACTGTGAGAAGACTGGCCTGCTCAGTTGTCTGGGAGTTGCGTTGCAATCGTGTTACTGTCTCCTCAGTTTGCGCTACTCGATTTCCTTGGTGTGCTCTCGCTCTTAGGGTTCTGATCTTACATGTGTCTTACTCGACAGCTTGGAAGCTCCGCAACATTTACCCACGTCGGAATACTGGAAGGGACTAACCAGTTCCATCCATTGGACCCAACTGAGTAGGCTTTTAATCAGAAGACGGAGGCAGAGTCAAGCCTTCGAAATATCGCTTTAAATAAAAAACAGGACGATGGATAATGTCAACAAAAACAAAAACTGTATTAATATACTGTAGCTTGTAGACCCGTTGCTAAGTAATGATCCTGTAGACAACGGCCGTTGCTAGATAATGACTGTAAACAGTAACACGAAAGCTGTTGAAGTTTTCTATGCGGTCCGTGACGAGATGCTATAAAGAGGACAAGTCTAGAGTTTAGTTAGTTGTGAGACAGCAGATGGCCAGTAAGGACGTGAACACGGAAGCTGAGGAATCTACGGCGTTGAAAGCCGTTACTAGACAACGACTGATGAGGACGCAGCGTGCTGTAGTGAATTGCAGAGTGTATGAATTAGCGATAGTGCTACAGTTACTTGAAGTTACATTTTGTAAGAGTTCAATATATCCAATTACCAGTCGAAACCCCCTTCCTAGTCTCTCATACACGTAACAATATCATGGTCACGAAGTTTAAGATCTTATTCACACCAATGTAACAGGCACTATTAAGAGCATGTAAATGTACCAATAAGGTAAACGTAAAGTTGCACCTATACTAATTAATTAAGCACCATGCCATGAAGACGTATGGGGCAGTGTAGGTACAGCTCCACCAAACTTTACCTCAGCACTAGATGGAAGTGAGTGGCCAGTTTGACGCCTCTTCCACTTTATCCCGGGGAAAAGAGCCACCGACTCCCATTTGACAGGAGACAGGGTGGGCCCTAGAACCGTCCTGAACGCTATGGCGCTGAGAAACATTAATTAAAGATTTGGAAATGATGTTGAATAAAACAGTCGTTGCCTGGTTTAAGGCATTTGCCTTGCGAGACCTGGGAAAACTACGGTGAACCTCAGTTTTCGGGCTCAATGGAGGACCTCTCAGATGTGAAGCAGGACTCGAGTCGCGGGAAAGTATTTTCTCTTTTTTTCTCCCTAGTTTCCTAAGTCTAGGCTTGACAACCAAGGAATCGAGGTCGATTCCCGGGACAGACAAGAGACTTTTCTCTTCTATATTGGTTCCACGCCGACTCTGAGGAAAATCCGGCCTTCTATCCTGTCGTTAACGAGGTCCTTTCTCTGGGGGGTAAAGCAACCGAGGCGTGAAGCTGACCGCTCACATCCATTTAGTGCCCAGGTCCAAATGGTGGAGCTATATCTCCACCACCCTTAAGTCTTCACGGCAAGATTCTTAATTAAGCACAGTTAGTTTTACAAATATTTAAAGTAACATTGAACATTGAGAAACTGACGTGAAGTGTCCATAACTTACGGCTTAAAGTTTACGAACTTAAAACAAGTTCATGCTACTACCGTATTTCTAAATTTCTAACCACAAACATTGTGAAGCACACCAAATACAGAATTACGCGGCCTCCGTAGTCCAGGGGTAACGTTCCCACCTCATGACTCAAGGTACGCGGGTTCAAACCCGGCGGAGGTCGTGGAATTTTTAAGGGCGGAAAAATTCAGGGAACAAGTCCTCCGGGAGGGACTTTAAGCCGTGGGTCCTGTATAGTAGATTTACTGCACGTAAAAGATCCTCATGTCTCTAGAAGACCTCTGAGCAATATTAGGCAACAAGTTTCCCGCCCAAGTAGTTTCCAGTGCCTCTGGTAGAGGGGGGAAACATCAGGTACCGAGGGTCGACGTCGTTGGCTGAACGGGGCTGATAGCACGCACCAGTACCGGTAGGGTATAGCGACAGTAGAAATTAAAGGGGGACGCACAATAGACCAATGACTGGTCTAAGTGCATGGGGAAACAAACCCCCTCTAATAATAATAATAATAATAATAATAATAATAATGGTCCAGTCACGAGAGGGTTGAGAAAATATCTGGAACTAATTCCTGGCAAGAACTCCATAGATTCACTGCAAAAAACAGCTATCCTGGGAACATCACACATACTACGGAAAGTGCTACAGTGTGAAGCTTGAAGCCTGAGTGGTGAGGTGCATCACTGGTTCAAGAAAA